CCACTGTGTGCTGTTTACCTTCACACGGGATTTGCACAGTAAAACTGAGGAGGGAGCCAAGAGGAGGAAAATGGGTGCGGCCCAAAAAACAAGACATAGCAAGCTGACCTCCTACAAAATAGAAGCAAAGGAAGCATAACATATAAATACAAGAAATAATTAGAGCTTTTCTGAGTTGTTTTATGTCATAGTGTGATGTATAATTCTCATGATTCACTGTCAAATTCAGTTTTAGTCTTTTTTTTTCTAGTTTTAAGTCTAAAGTCTTGATTTATATGAAGTGAATCCCAAATCACTGTATTTAGACACTCAAATCACACTAAACAATGTATAACAGTAATTACATTAGATCAAATATACATCTGCCTGAAGAATCTAATCACACTAATTTGTTTTCAGATTCTTACTGGTTTGATTTGCATCTAATGCAATGACATTTGTGCATTTTAAGTGTGACTTGAGTTGTTTTGGGGTCACTGTGCATGCCGTGAGTATTTTTAATGTTAATAATCATCATTTATTGCACAATGTGTTTGTATCAGTCTTCAGAGTTGGGGCTTCCTCTGGTAGTCAGTCAGAACTGGCAGTACAATTATTACATAACCTCATTCTGTTTTCATAATTAATATTATAATAGGACTGGCTGATGTTATGAAAGACAGAACGGTTCTTTCATCTGAATGGTGCTTGTAATCAAATATTAGTTTGTGAACAAATCGTCAGCATGTACTTATGTGAATGAGTAACGGTTGAGTGGCTGTCAATGTCTTTCACTGTAGATGCAGAGCTACTGTAACTGTTTACTGGAAACATAAACCTCAAAGCACAAATGATTGACCTGACATGTATCATAGTGTGTATGACATGTTTTGAAGAGAGGGACTGTGTATTTCTCTCCAAATTGAGATGTGAAGGCAAAAGGCTGTATGTTCAGTATGTATTTTCTAGCTTTCATAGTCTTAGCTTTCATATTTGTAATCCCAGATGTTTCATATCATAAGCCTTGTGTACTGTATTGGCAGCATTTTTTGGTCCTAGTGGCCTGATGGTAAAGCAACAGGGCATAATGAGGTCTTAAAGGAATAGCTCACCCTTGCTCTTGCCTATATACCTTTATTTTTCCCTTGGAATGCAAAAGCAGAACTTTTGAAGAATGCTCATGTTGCGCTTTTGCATACAATTAAAAAGGTCAAACAAAGCACTTTAAAAGTGGCCAGTCTTAAAAATACAGGACCTTTATTGGCATCTGTGGTTCCATGAAGAAAGTTTAACATCCATGGAAAAACTTCATTCCACAAAATTACAACAATTCTTCATATTGTTCTTTCCTTAAAAAAATGGTTCTCTGCAAGGTTATTCGGGGAAAAAACCCTTTTGGCACCTTTATTTTTTATGAGTGTGTATGACTTGTGCCATACAGTATGTTCCAAGTCGTCAGAAGTCATACAATAGCTTTGTGCTTTTGTTGTATGGAAAAGAGCAGCATGAACATTCTGCAGAACGTCATCTTTTGTGTTCCACATATGTAAATCAGCAGTTTTATAATGATATGATGGTGAGTGAAAATAAAATATGATAATGATAATTTTCATTTTTAGTTGAACTACTCCTTTAAAGATTGTAAGGGTTCGGGGGAAGTTTTATCAATTAGTCTGTTAACTAAATGGCAAAAACGAACATTTTCAGCTTAATAACGTTAGCTTACAGTTATCTTGTACAATGTTCTGTTAGGTCCTCATCAATCTATCATGCCCCCTAGTGTTCAATGTCTTTCTGTACAAGACAACTCAACTCTATGGACCAGGAAAACTGCATTTTCTACCACTCTCTGAAAATACTCGTGTACATTTGTAATTGTAGCATTTAGAATATTCAATATAGGACAGCAATGATAGTCTGCTGCATAAATGTTAAAAGGAGAAAAAGAATGATATAGATTTATATCACACCTCTCCCCTCATCTTTAGGTCTCTTTTTACAGGTGTTTTTTGTAAGCACTTTTTGTATCTCTTTTCTGTGTTTGGTCTCTTCTCCATAGTTCTTCATTGACTGCCTGTCCATCAACACGTGTTTGCTGACCAGAGTGTAAATAGATGTTTGTTAATAAAAATATGCTTTTCATGTACTGATTACACATCTTGTTTGTGTTTGGATTGGTGCTTCTGTCTTTGGCCCAAAAACATGACAAAATAGACACACATCCTACAAGCCTCCTCTGCAGATAGAAGAGGTTAAAACCTGTCCTGTGCCTATTTTGGTGTTACCAGTCAGAAATGAGTGGCCTTTTAAAAATGTCTCGTTATGCTATATCATCACTAAATCTTGGATTCAGTCTTTTTTGTAAAATCAATTACCACAGGTTTTGCATTTCTTTTTTGAAACTGATTGCTCGTAGGCCTCATTGATCTGAGCTTATGCACTTCAGTTTTTGAGGGGGGAAAAAAATGGGGATAATTTCGGCAATATTCAGTAAAAATATTGTACAAAGTACAACAATTATCCAGCCTTGTTATATACCCTCTGCAAGTAAAGTCAGTAGGTTTTAGTCCAATGCGAAAACATCATTTTCAAAAAAGAAAATTCTCTACAGGTCAAAACGACTGGAACTCAATATGAGGGTTAATATGTAACAGAAGCAGAGCTTTGACAAAGATGTGCAATGCAAATTGTTTTATTAATGAAAATAGAAGTGCAATGTGTTAATACAGTAATAATAAAATATTATTATACAATATGATCTCTTATAAACTGCCATCTGAAAATTCATTTTATATGTTTTTAAGATTTAAAATTCACAAAAAGCTGTTGACTTGGCATGACACAAAATCAACTTTGGTTTTGTCCAGAACTTACAAGCATGCAAAACATTTTAAAGTACCGTGAGGTCCAAAAGTCCACATAAAAAATCTGGGATTTAAAATCTCATTTAAACCTGGAAATTAACAGTGTTTTTACGATTATGTATGTATGTATTTATTTTAGATTTTTTTAGATCACTAATGAAAATGTTTGTACAGATGGAAGTGCTGCTGTCATTAAATTATGGGGAAAAAACAAATTACTATGACATTCTGAAATTAATATTAATATTTCAATCTCACTAAAACTGATATATAAGCTGATATATAAATAATGATATATAAGATTATATAGCTCTATAAACTTGTGTGTGTGTGTGTGTGTGTGTACATATACATACACTGAACAAAATTATAAACGCAACACTTTTGTCGGCAAAGGAGAAGTGCTCACTAACACAGATTTAGACAGATTTGTGAACAATATTTGAGAGAAATAGGCCTTTTGTGTACATAGAAAAAGTCTTAGATCTTTGAGTTCAGCTCATGAAAAATGGGGGCAAAAACAAAAGTGTTGCGTTTTTTAATTTTGTTCAGTGTATATTTCTATTTAAAATGTATTAAACTAGACTTTAGATGCGAAGTGGGCTTTTATAGCTTTAATGTATAGCCAAATATCAAGGAATATGTGACCCTGGAGCACAAAACCAGTCTTAAGTCACTGCGGTATATTTGTAGCAATAGCCAAAAAAATATTGTATGCGTCAAAATGATCGATTTTTCTTTTATGCCATAAATCGAGTCAAAAATCAAAGTAAATATGCATTGCTAAGAACTTCATTTGGACAACTTTAAAGGCGATTTTCTCAGTATTTCGATTTTTTTGCACCGTCAGATTCCAGATTTTCAAATAGTTGTATCTCGACTAAATATTGTCCTATCCTAACAAACCATCAACCATCAAATACATCAATGGAAAGCTTATTTATCCAGCTTTCAGATGATCTATAAATCTCAATTTCAACAAATTTACCCTTATGACTGGTTTTGTGGTCCATGGTCACATATGAGTTTGTGTCAGAGCACTGATGCTGATTTGAAAGCTATTTATAACATTTGTAGAGTATTTTTAGCACTATATATCCTAAATGCAGTACAGTTCTTGCTAATGACATGGTTGTGCAATAGTATGTTGCTGTGTATGTGCTTCAGGACATGAATGCTCGCACACTCCCCCGGATGACTGCCCTGCATATGGGGCAGTGGCGCAGACTGGCTGCGCAGTCCATGCAGACGACCAGGTGACCACAGGGGATGAAGACCATGGAGATGAGTTTGTCCATGCAGACCTTACAGGTCCTCTTTTCCTGAAGCTGTCACAACTGATCCTCTGGACTCAGGTCTGATCGCACTGAAAAACACACAAATACACAAGTTAGGACGTTTCAGATCAGTCTGGGTCAGTTGAAATGATTGATAGTGTGATCTGTTTCATCCCAGAAGCTTCTAGATGGAGAGAAGATTAAGATATACCCAAACACACACATTATAAGTGCAATGACAGCATGTTAATATGGACCTTTCTCCCTGTCTGAGACCTGCGTTCTCGGCGTTCTCTGCCTCTCCACAGTCTCTGAGGGAACAAACCATCCACACGTTAGAGGAGGGAATGGCACATTATCAAACATTTGATCATATTTTTTATTGCGATTAACAACACTTGGCTATCAAACTATAGGTGGCATTAAAGAACTAGTTCACACAAAATTAAAAGTCTGTCATTATTTACACAAAACATGTCAACAAATGAGGCCCAGAAGGATGGAAAAGAATGCAGGGTCTCAAGTGTATTTAAAACTTATTTTAATTTGATGTTGTTCATTGCTACTTAAAAACATGTCGCTCATGTGCAAGAAAAATCGGTGAGTTCAGAGCAACAAAATTGTCAAACACATTCATCTAGTGCTTGTT